TTCTTGGTAATTAGAGCAACACACAATGCCAGAGTTGGGCATCGGATCAGGAATGTCCCTGCAGGGTCTCTTGTGGTCAGAGCGGGGCTCTGGGAAGGTGCTGGATCTCGGAGGTCCTGTCGTCATCAGCGGATTAATCCACTGAGGTCCTGGTTGAGTGTTTTATTGGGAGGTAAAGCCTGGTCAGAAGACGTGGGTCCCTGGGGTCGTGACCTAGAGGCGTCTATCTCCTCAGATCCTCCCTTGTCTCTGCTCCCTGGCCTCCATGATCTGCGTAGCTTTTCCACCATGCCCTTCCACCCATGCTGTTTTTGCCTTGGAGCCTGCCGACCGCGGAGTAAACTGTGAACCAAAATAAACCGCTCCTCCTTTAAGATGAGGTGTCGAGTATTGTGTCTCAGTGAAGAAGAAAGTGACTAAGGGCAGCCAGAATATTCCTAAACTCTCTCAATATCAGCAAACAAATAGATGAGAGAACATCTGTGAAGAATGTATGATGGTACTTGAGATGCTGGTGGGAAAAGCAACGTGCTGACTTCCTGGTGTGGGGTAAGCCTCAACTTAGCGTCTGATACCTACTGGCCCTTACCCGCCTAAGCTCTAAAGGTTCTTCTTTGCTACACGGGAAAGAGGTGCTCAACCTTTGTTCAGTCAAAAAGTATCCTTTTACAGGGTTCCAAAGTATCTGTGCACAGAGCAGGTAAAATCAAAGCGGCTCTGGTCGGGAAAAAGCATGTCACTTTTTTCTTTGGTGGTCTCCCCCCCCTCCACGGGACTCAAGCACTGACAAAACAGGTTGATGAAAGGTCGAAATTCTTAGGTAAATCTAAGATGTCTACGTTGTGTGGTTCTGAACCACCTAGCTCGTATCATCTCCTAATTTCCTGACATCACAAACTCTGAAGCTCCACATGTAGAGACTGATGGGACTTCATGTTTATGGAGTAAATGCTTTCTTGTATGACTAACTAAATGAACTAGGGGACCATATACTTGTAAAAGGAGGATGGGATGTGAAGACCGCTCACAAGGAGCAACAATTTAGTCAACAGATAAATAACAGGTTAGAGAAATGGTTAAACTGAATGGAAGGCTCTTTGAAAGCAGCAGTCGTTCAGAGAACACCCTTATGAAACAGGTGACATTTGTCCTTCCTTCAAGGATGAGTTAGAATTGGACAGATAGCAAGAAAGCTCTTCCTGTTGGTGCAAAGAAGTGGACATTATAATTAGTAATGCATTTTTGTGGCCAGGGAGGAAACAGCCTGGCAGGAGTAGATGACTGGTGTTGGGAAAGGGGAAATGGGAAGGGGAAATGGGCATGAACAGACGTGCCGGGATGAAGCTGCAGAAGACATCACCAGTCAGGCAGCAGAGTTAGGTGTGACTTGATTTCCAATAGGAATCCAGCATCTACACTTAACTAGGACAGTGACAGTGGAAGTGGCCAATTAAAATCGTGAGAACAGGACTAACATGACTCAAGTCATAGACCAAGAACATCAGTCTGGCAGTGTTATGCTGGCGAAAGAGTTGCTAGCAAGCTGTTTTAATAATGAATGAGCTTTCTTCTTTCCTGCTGATAAGAAGATGCAGATGCCTATACTCAGTTTCAGAAACTCCCCCATAATTTGCAGCAGATGATGATGCCAGCCCTCCTGGCCCTTCTTGTGCATATGAAAGCAATCCAGTGCTGGGATTAAAACAAGTTCATATGTTTGCAAACAAGTATGTTTAAAAACAATTAAAATATAATTAAAGTATTCTTAGAGTTGTACAAACCCAATGAAAGTGCCTTGACTAGTGCTGCTTTCAAATTTCATTTATATTCTCAAACTTGTGGCAGTTTTTATTTTATTAGTTTCAGTTTTTAAACTTGTGTATCAGTGTGGTAGTTTCTGCATGTTTCTTGGAAGTATCAAGGGTCATATAACGTGTACTTTGTGTGTATTTTAAAATTGTGAACTAATTTCACCCCTTCCCTTTAGCTTTAGACTTTAAATGACTTGAGAATAGCCTTTCTCCAAAACACCTCTTAGTGCCTAGCACAAGCTCCTGAATACAGCAAAAATTAAATGAATATTGTGGTTTATGGAGCTCTCATACTTTATTCCCAATAGTTTCCCTCACTCTTTGCAGAGATTCCTAGCTTTCTTGCTTGGTAGCCTGTGTTTTATCTTGTTTGGTGAAGGGCAGAAGCTACTTCTGGTTGTTTTCTAATTTCCCAATATCAGTGAAGGATTAACATCAGCCTGTCATGACTTTTCACTATTCTTTCTCCTTTCTGTTTTGCTTTTGGGGCTCATCTGTTTCATTGCCATCTTAATCTGGAAAAGAAGGGACTGCATTAAGGGAACAATGGAATCAACAAGTCTAATGTATGATTCAGACAAATTCCTAAAGTGCTTTTCTCTAAGGCAGAATTTGCACATAGAGATTCACATTCATTAAGCTAGAGGCAGAGAGTGTCAAGCTGGCTGCAGGTTTAATAGAGAGGTCAGAACCTTTTCTCTCTGTCATTCCTACTGAAGACATCATTAGAGCTACAGTAAAATAAGAGAATGTCACAGAATGTCAGCCTAGTCACAGTGCAACTGTTCTTTTTTCATTAGTGACTCAGCTAGTTGCTATGGCAACTCCACTCTAGTATCAGGGATACTAGAGCTGATGCTTTTCCGCCTCTATTTTCACTTAGGATAAATTGTGCTCCCACCTCATGGGCTCCTGCCATGATATTTATATCTGGGTCATGATAATAAAACCAGTTAGAAATGTGTCTGCTGAAATTCTAGCCAGGCAGAGAGGTTTCCCACTAAAAAGGAGAGTGAATATAGAATTTCTAGGTTGAGTTGAGCACCAATTACCCTGTGGGAGGGCCAGGTATTCCCTTCTGTCCTGGCTGTATCCTGGGGAGATTGCAATCTTCTTAGGATTTGCTCTGCACATTCTATAGCCTGGCTGGCTGGCTCCAGAAAAATTAAGCAATCTACTTTCAGTCCCCCATGCCTGACTCATTCAGGGGCCACTTATGCTTCCTCGAAATGGGCCCACTAGAACTTCATTATTCGTCATTCATTCATTCATTTGTAGCAGAATGATTACAGTGGCCTGAGCTTCATGTTAAACAGAGGTTTAGCTTCATGTTAAATAGTTTAACATGAGGATGGAATTCAAGTACCTGTTCTTTGAAGGATGGAAGAATGGTGTATGAATAAGCACTTATACTACCATGTAATAGATGTTTTTAAATTTTTTCAATTTTAAATTGACAATAATTATATATGTATGCGATACAATGTTATATTTTGACATGTATACACTGTATAATGATCAGTTAGCTAATGAGCATATTCAGCCCCTCAAACATTTAGCACTTTATTGTGGTAACACTTAAAAATTGTTTTTTTTTGGTACCGGGAATCAAATTCGGGACCTTGTGCTTTCGAGGCAGGTAGGGGAACCACTGAGTTAAATCCCCAGCCCTAAAATCTTTTTAATACGGTGCTTATTTGAACTGCGGTATGGATATGTTTTCATATTTCATAAGAAGGAGATAGTAACTCTGCCTGGTTTGTTCTTAGACAGTTTTCAAAACCGTTGACATTTGAGTGAGAGTCTTAATGGATGTGATCCTAGTTAAAGTCTTCAGTGGTTCAGAGCTGGGGTAAACCTAGGGGATTTTTGTTACAGTGATATCTGGTTAAAAGTCTGTTTGCCCTTCAAATGTGTATTAATCCTCTTTAATACGAAGCATTTTCTAGCAACCAGGATGTGATCTTTTTTAAAAAGGAAAAAAAACCTGGAAAACAAAATAAGATGCTTGTCCTGGAAAATTGTTTTTGGAAATGGAGCAGGGCCCAAGTGAGAGTAATTTGAAGATCCTGTTGCCAGTTAACCTTTCCCCTGGAATTAATATATTGTGACAAGTACCCTTTGTATCACCAAAGCACGCAAACAAAAAGATACTGAATGAAAGTACTCTGTGAATGTTATAGTTGGTGAAGGGCACAAAAGAGTCTCTCACTGCACCTATTTCCTCTGAAGCAAAGATATTAGGTAACCGTGCAGGATTAATAGAAGTGGATCTCTTGCATATTTACCTTTGGATGTTCAGAATTAGAGATGAACATGTAATGAAACAATTATGTGGAAGGCAGAGTTCTTTGTGAAGCAGGATTTCACTGTGGAACTAAAATGGTATTTATAGTGGGATTGGAAAGTCTTTTCTTACTGAGCTTGTAACTGCTTAGCCCAGAAATTCAGGCAGCATCTTCTAAGATGAATTCTGTCCTCAGCCTGCTGACAGCAATGTTGCCGATGTGGTCAGCACAACACAAGAAATACGTGTCACTGTATCTGCAGATCAGAACAGACACTGAAGTCTGTGTAGGCTCAAGTGATCTCACTAATATTCTCTGCCTAGAGGCTTCTTGCAAATCCATTCTCTTTAAAATCCTATTACAGCAGAATCCAGTAATTGCACCACTGGATGCTGCAGCACACTATAATCTTTAAGAAATATTCTCTATAAAGCATACTTACCTTTTTGTATAGATAATGTATGTAATATCAGCAAAAATTTAAAGAATGTTTAAAGATAGACATACTGATAAGCATGTCTCACTCTCAGTCAACAATTTGCCTCCATAGAAAAAAACCACCATGACCAGTTTCTTGTATCTCCTTCTGGGGAATCCCAAGCCCTTAGATAATATAAATACTGATGGAAATGGTGGAATCCTGTGAAAATTTTATGTACTTTGTTTTTTTCTTTAAAAGTATTTTTGGACATGTAGAAAGGGAATATATATTTCTATCTATCCTAGATTCATGATTGAAGCCCCTATGACAAAAGATGGATCAATAAGAAAAAATTATACAAAAGGACTTAATATAATTTTAACATGGGGCCTTTATAAGGAAGATACAATTAATGGTAACTTATTGGAGCATACTTAGCAAGGCTTATTGTTCAGATTTTCTTGGCATCTTTGACTTCATAGATAATAACTCTCCATTCTTCTGGCTGTAAGGGGAGAATTTCTCACATGAGGATCTTACAACCTGCTTCAGGGTAAGTTCAGAAAAATTTTCCCAGTTTTTATGACTTGCTTTTGGGAAAGAAAGGTTGGGGAAGGTCAGGAAGACCTTCTCATCTCTGACGTTTCTTCAGATTCCTCCAGCCTAAAATATGTTCGGTAGTGTGAACAGACCCCATAAGACACCATGCTACCTTCCTCATTGTTTTGTAATGAGCCACACAGTATTCTAGAGTATTTAACCAATCCAACTTTTATGGATATAGAAACTATCTTTGCTATCACAAACAAATCCTTGGCCATATGTCATTGCACATCTGTGTAAGTATATTTTTGGGAAAATTTTCAGAAGTTTAGGTTGTGAGTGAAAGAATGTGTACATGTAATTTTGATAATTTTGTAAAATTGCTTATGAATAAGTTTTCATCATCTTTTATTCCCACACAATATGTATGACAATCCTTGTTTCCCTGCCTCCTCATTATCATAATTTATTATCAAACTTTTTGCTCAGCACTCAATTTGAAAGGTAAAAATGTGCGTGTCCTTGTTGTTTTAATTTGTAGTTCCCTTAGTATGTGTGATTGAACATTTTGGAAACTAAAGAAGCATTTCTATTATTTATGAAACATTTATTCACATGATTTTGATAATTTAATCCTTTATTGATCTCTATCTGTGATATAAGTTGCAAATATATTTTCAGTTGACTTTTTGTGGCTTTTAATAATTTTACCCTATAGATTATTTAGTCTGGGAAATTTTTTTCATTGATGGCTTATAAATTTTCTATTACAATTAAAAATACATTTGCACTGTGATATTTTACACACACATAAACACATACATATCCTTTCCATGTGTTTTTATGTTTTAAGTTTTTAGCATGTAGTTATTTTTATCTACCTAGAATTTTAGGATAAGAAGTAAAGGTTTAGCTTAATTTTTCTTTTTTCTTTTTTTAGATGTCTCTTCTGTTTTTTTCAACACCAGTTTGCAAATAGTCTATTTTTCCACAGGTATTTGAGATAACTGATTTATCATATATCAAATGTTAGAATGAATTTGGCTCTGTTTTTGTGTTTTGGGGTATTCAATTGACTTCTGCATATATTCATGTGTTAGTACCATAGAATTTTATCGTTTGTATCTGTACCAGTTAATTAAAGCCAGCTGACTCAAACTGTAACTCTATCTTTATTGTCCTGCTAGCGATATTGGTTGGAACTGGCCCTTGCAAGCCAGTAGATTCCCCCTTGCCAGTAGAGGATGCTGGATGGTCACTGCAGAAAGAAGGGACTCCTCTTTCTTGTTCTTTGTCATTTTCTTGCTGTGCCCAGTAGCATGCAGGTCACCCAGTGCAGGCCCTTCCTGCTGTCCTCCGCCTGTGAGCTCAGCTTGCTGGTATCACCCCAACCTCCTGTGAAGTTCCTGCTTGCTGGCCCTGCTCCTGTCTGCCCTGCCTGCCCTCCAGATGCTGCCTGCCAACTGTGAGCTAACTCTGGCTTGGGGAAATCTTTGGATCATATCAGAAAAACGCTAGCTGTGTGTTTTATGCTAATTTACAATTTAATTAATAATATTATTTAATTTTTATACTGATTTCATTTGAAATTCAAATTTTATTGGGAATCTTTTATTTTGTTTTGTTTTTGGTGTACCTCACAGCTCTACCCAGAAAATATGAACTTTATTGAGACATTGGGGAATAAATTAGAAGAGTAACTGTACCCTTGAAAACTGTGATGCTACTACCTTTTGCAGAGAAGATATGGCCATAAGAGGTGTGCCATTAAAATGGGCTCCCTGACTTCAGTGAGAATAATGAGGACCTAGAGTAGCAGCTTCCAGTGGCAGCACATAACCCCCAAAGACAAGGAAGGTGCATTTACCACAAAGACAGCAGGGATGCTTTGTTCTATAGCTAATTGATAGCAGTTTCTCCAGGAGCAATATAGGCAATCTACTAGAACATTGGTTGTTCTACATAACATAAAAGCCTGCTACCTTGTATGGTTGTTAAAATCCTGATTTGAGTCACTACAGTGGATAATTATAGACTTCTTTCAGCTTTCAGATCTACATATGTCAATCAGCAGACCCCAAATCTTTTCATTGAATCTGGAACTCATTGTCTCATTGAGGATTGGAAGTCCCTAACATAAATCTTTCTCCAATTTTTACCCAGAGGACTTAGAGTAATCATGTACCGGATAAAAGGAAACACCCAGATCCTAGGGGGATTACTACATACTCACCCTGAATTGTCTAATTTGAAGAGACTCAAAATGCCACTGTGACCCATCAGTAAGAATGGGAGCTTAGAGCTACAGATAATAGATAGAATTTCTACTAACAGTGGAGCAAACTGATTGAAGGATCCACCTTGGTTTGTTGCCCAGTTCTTGAGTGTATAATTAAAATATACATGCTCAGCAACTATCATAACCCCCATTTTGGATCTCCAACCTTGCAAAAGTATATTAACAAACATCTCAACAAAGAAGATACATAGATGGCAAGTAAGCATCTGAAAAAGTGCTTAACATAACTTGTCATTAAAGGACTGCAAATTAGAACAGCTATTAGATACTACTTCACTCCTATTACAATGGCTAAATCCTAAAAACTGACAATGACAATTCCGGATACAAGTAAGGAAATGGAACAATGTGAACTCTCAGTCATCGCTGGGGGTAATACAAAATGGTACAGCCACTTTGGAAAACAATTTGACAGTTCCTTATAAAACTAAACATAGTTTTCCTTCACATGTGATCCAACAGTTGAACTCCTGGATATTTACCCAAGTGAGTTTAAAACATGCCCATATAAAACTATGCACATAATTATTTTATAACAGCTTCATTCATAATGACCCCCAAAGTGGAAGTAACAAAAATATCCTTCAGTAGATGAGCAGATACGCTGTGGCACATGCGTCGATAGAATAATATTCAGAAATTATCTATTAGACTAAGAAGTGACATGGAGGAACCTTAAATAATATATCTTCTCTTTCTCTCTCTCTCTCTCTCTCTCTCACACACACACACACACACACACACACACACACACACAGTGCTTTGTTATATAGTACAAGCCAGGAATTAACTTGCTATGTAGCCAGGGCTGACCTCAAACTTACGAATGTCCAGTCTCAATTTCCTGAGTCCTGGAATGACAACCATGTGGCACATGCCTGGCCCCTTAAGTAATATTTCTATGTCAACTGATTCCAGCTATGTGACATTCCAAGGCAAAACTGTATAGACAACAAAAATCCATTGGTTGTCATGGATTTGTGGAAGAAGAAAGGGGCAGATAAATGAAACATGCAGAATTTTGAGGTCAGTGAATCTATGCATAACACTAAAATGAAATTACATGTTTATCAACACTTACAGAATTTTACAAATATCTCCTAATATATGTAAACAAAAAAATCATGTAGGAGGTCAGGGAACTTCAGGGAAGAATGCAGACTGTAACAAGAGAATCTCAGTGGATTAAAGGTATATGAAAAACCCTCGCCGAGAAAGGTAAAGGAAAATGTGTTGATCTAAGTACCACTGAAAATGTCTAAAGGTTTTAAAACTAAAGGAAAGAAACAATCTGCACATATGTGAGTTAGTATAGTTTCTTTCAACATGGGTACAGATTAATAGTTAAGACATTGCTTTATATGTTTACTGGAATTAAAACTCAGTACAGAACTAGATAGTGGTATTTCTTACTGTCAGAGTAGAAGGGCAGCAGGCAAGAAATCATCAAGGGCAGAAGGCTAGAATGGTCCAGCTGGCTGTAGAGACAGATGATCACATGTAGAAACATATATAACTAGATGTATATAGACATTATTACACACATGTCTATGTCTTTGTTATGGTAGCTGAAGGGCCATAAATGAAATGACACCCCATTAACAATGAGCCAATATACACATCTAATATCCATATTCTGGATTCTAATGCATTCTCAATAAAAAGGCAACAAGGCAGACTGGGAATGTAGCTCTGGGCTAGGGCACTTGCCTAGCATGTGCAAGGCCCTGGGTTCAATATCCAGCACCATAAAAAAAAGCAACAGCAAGAAGGCTCCTTGGCTCCTTAGAGAAAGGACCCTTTCTAGGGCTGAAAATGGAAATGTATAAAATGAAACTGGAGTGGGTACTCTGGAAGCGTGGTCTGTCAGAAATAGGGAAGTGGTGGGCCGGGGATTTAGCTCAGTGGTTCTGCCGCCTGCCTCACAAATGCAAGGACTCGAGTTTGATCCCCAGTACCAAAAACAAAAAAGAAAAAGAAATAGGGAAGTGCTCAAAAATAAAAACATACACATTGATATATGTGAAAAATACACAGGAGCCAATTTAAAGAGTTCCCACAAAGCTAAAATAATTTGAGCACCGAGATAAATACAGTGTCATTGAATTTAATGTAAAATATAAAATGAGTAGTCATGGACTCATAACCATACAGTAATTTAATAAATTAGTAAATGAGAGAAGAGATGAATCACTCATATATGTAATTCCAAGCAAATTATGCAGATACTTCTCCTTACAGGAAATTGAGCATAACTTCCACTTCTTAAGTATGTTCCATACATTGTGACTGCCTACCAAAAAACAGAGTAGGGAAGGGGAATACAAACAGTAGCCTTGGAGTGGAGAAATCCAACAAACTGCTTCATTCAGAACAACGTCAACATAAGGAGTGATAAATTACATTCTGATATGTACTCTTGATATGTTGTGACAAAAATATCACTTTACCTAGTATTCTATCTCCTAAAAATCAATAACTGGGAAAAATTTTAGACAGCTTCCAATAGAGGAATATCTTACCATATAACTGACCAAAACCCTTCAAAGCTGTCACAGTTATCAAAAAATAAATAAATAAAAGGAAACTGAGAATCTGTCACAGCTAAGAGGAGCGTATGGAAATCTGAAAATCAAAAGTTATGTGGTGTCCTAGATGGGATAATATCGAATATGAACATTAAGTAAAAACAGGAAATCTGAATAAACTGTGGATTTTAGTTAATAGTAGTATATCAATATTTGTTCATTAATTGTGACAAGGTACCATATAAGTCTAAGTTGATAGCAATAGGGATACTGTATAGATAGGGATATATATAAACTCCATTTTCTCTGTAAGAATAAAACTATTCAAAAAACAAAGTTATTAATAAAAATTACTAGAAAGAAAAACAAAGGTGAGATAAATACTTTTTCAGACATATAAAATCTGAAATAATCCATCAATAGCAGAAATACATTGTAAGAAAAGTAAAACCGTTCTCACAGGTAGGAAAATAATGGCAGAAAGAAATCAAGATCTACACATAAGAATGAAGAGCACTGGGGACAGTGATTATATATGGGTTGACTTTTTTCTTATTATTTAAGTCATTTTTTTAATTTAAAAAAGTAGTCCATATTTGTAGAATCTCTTTTTAAAATAACCGTTTGAAACAAAAAACCAAAACAATGTATTATGGAGTTTATACATACTATATAAATAAGTTGTACACCACCAGCAGCATACACTGTAGTAAGATTTTCATATTGCACATAGTAGAAGATACACTGCGATAAGATAAAAATGTATACTATAAATCCTAAATTAGCCATCAGAATACCAACAAAGTTAGGTCTAACAAGACAACAATTAAACAAAATCATAAAAATATTTCATGATAAGGTAAGAAAAAAGAAATAAAGAATAGATGGGTTAAATAGAAAACAGTTTAAACATTTCAACATTCAGATTGAATTTAAATGGTATAAAGATACCAGGCAAAGGCAGAAATTGTAAGATATGAAAAAAGAAGGAAGACCACACTGTGTTCTGGCTGCAAGAAACAAATCTCATATTAACTCTAAACAGGTTAAAAGTAAGATGATGGAAAATGATGTCATGTTAATAGTTATCAAAAGAAAAAATAAAATTGCTATATTAAACCAAGGTATAGTTTACAGAAAATAATATTATTCAGGATAAAGAGTGTCACTTTGCAATAATAAAGGAGTAAATTAACTAAGAAGATATACAATTATAAATATTTATGTACCCAATAACAGGATGTAGGCTAGCATCAAGGACTTTTTCACTTTTGAACAAGTCCCATGACTTAAAGTTTGCACTGTCCATAAGAATTGGCTTCAAGTGTTTTGTTTCAAGGCTTTGAATTTCATGTTTTGCTAGTTTTCTCAGCCACTTAATATATTACTCAGTTTTGAGCACCATGAGTCAGTACTGCCGAATTTTTTTAAAAGGTGATATTTTGACATTTGCTGTGATTGTCTTCATACATATTTTCATGAAAAAATACAAAGAAGAGAAAATAGAGCCTAGATTTGTTTTCACTGCAAATGTTAGTTGTTGATCTAGCAAAATCTTTATAATTAAATCTCTATTGTCTGTTTCACATAATATTCAGAATGACGTGCTGTTACAATATTGACCAAATACAAAGACCTTCCTTCTAGGGTGACATAATAGCAGCAGAACCGTTAAAAATAGTACTTTTATCATTTTGAATTGATTTTTGATCTTCTTGAGACTTTTTTAAAATCTCAATGCAATAACCTCATACTTGTATATCTGAAAATATGACACAGAGATAGTATTCCAAATGTCATTCCATTTCTGGCCAGAGGAACATAGAGCAGAGAGAGATATGAAAGGTCTTATAGATGACTGATAATATAGTGTTTTAATATTACATTTTGTTCCTTTTGATTCTATTTTTCTAATTTTTTCTTAAAATGTTTTCTTGTGATGAGGTCCTACTACATAGCCTTGCTGGCCTCAAACTCACAGTCCTCTTATCTTGGTCTCAAACTTGTAGCCTCCAGAATAGCTGGGGTAATAGGGATATGCCACCACATTGAGCTTTCATTTAATTTTGAAAAACCAAAGTTAAAAATATTTATGGTAGAGGTTAGTCCAAAACTGTTTTACCTATTTGAACATCTCCTAATTTGCCCACTGGTTCTGACTATAGTATCAATTTAGGAATTTAAGTGATGCTGCAATATTGTGTTAATAATGTTGTGCAATGCTTTTTATATAATTGGTCATCTACTTTGCTGGTCCAGTGATTGTTGTTATTAATGTACATGATTTCAAATTATTTTCAAAACAAGCTGGTTTTCAAAAGACTTTCCAAACGTTGCCTTTTTTAAAAGCAGAAATGTAGAATTATTCTTTAACTAGGCATAAGGATCACACCCATATGTCATATCTATGAGTTACCATTCACTGATTTTCTTTCCTGGATGCTTCAAATTAACTAGTATTTTTATTTGTTTGAAGCATCCAACCATTATAGTTTGAGGCTAGTAGGTCTGCCAAAGGCTCACATTTTGAAGTCTTGGTCCTCAATGCAGCAATATTCAGAAGTGAGGTTTTGGGGAAGTGACTGGCTCATGAGGACTGACCTTATCAGTGGATTAACCACAGAAGGGTTCATAATTTGGTG